CTCAAAGAGATAAGCTGCCATGAAGAACATTATTTTATCTGCCCTTGTTCCAAATTTGATAATGATTTGAAACGTCGAAGTATTTTTTTTATCCGGAACATCGCTTGTTGCAAAGTGTTTTGATGCTCGTCTTTGTCACTTGACACATTTAACACGCTGTCATTGGTTGAGGAGCTTTGTTTACAAAACAGATGTCCACTTTAAATTGTTTAAATTTCCTTACTTTCTAAGACACATTAAGTTGATTTGATGCTACAGTTTGCCTTGTAATGTTATTTTATACCTTTTCTGCTACTTTTGAATTGGCTATTTTAAGGATACAAGATGCTCCCTACAAAACCAGAATGGGAATCTTTTCCTAAAATTTCATGGTGATATCTTGAACACTGAGGAAGTTAGGAGCAAAATTAGACAACAGCAAGGTGAAATGGTCACAAAGGCCCCATTGGTGAACTGTAGCAAGAAAACATGAGCTGATTTCACCTGAACAAACATCAATAACTTCCCTCATACTTCAGATAATCACATGATTTTGGTGTTTTTTTGTGTGGTTTGAAATGTTCTTTTGGAATCCGCTGTCAGATTCAATATCGGTGTAGGATAAAAAATTTATCAACATCCCTACAGCTTTCATTTCTTCATTTAAAAAAACATGTGGCTATTACTTTATTAACACTAAAATGAGTAGTGACTCAGAGTCAAAAATGTTCTGTAAATCATTCCATTTAGTTTAGAGATGACAGACGGGGCGTGAAAATGKTTTAAAGATTTATTTTCACTGTCACCTAACAACTTCAGTCAACAAGAAAAGTCAAATAGGATGAATGCCAGGCATAAAATCCCCCAAAATCCCCCCTCAGTTTTGCCCCTTTCTCACAACTGTCAAAAGGCTCAAAATAGCTGCAGACTTTTAAATGTTGGTGTACGTCAAGTTCTGCATTGAACAGCTACAGCTTTAGCTTAGAATATGAAGGTTATCTAAGTTGGCGAGTCTTGCGACTGACCCTTTATTTTGCGGCCTAATACTTTTTATACGCAGGTTCATCTGTCAACTAAATAGCCGGCTAGTTTAGCAATAGAAGCTAAACAGCTAGCTCGGGCCTCCTCAAACCGACGTTAAAACCTCAGATGTGCCGGATGTTTTCATCGCATTTAAACACGCGGTGTGACGAGAAGTTATATGGCGTGGGTTAAATTAAAACCCCACCGGTATGACATGGATAAAAATTACATATAAATGCGAACAAACCTGGGAGTGTGTAAGCACGTGGGTCACACAACAGTCGGTAAGAGCTGAAAGGAGGGAAGCCCGGAAATGACGAAGTATAGCTAGCTAACCTACMAGTGTTTTGCCAAAATATGTACCCCTGCCGTCCAACGCCTCGCCCGCCATAAAAGACGCCACATTATCGTTAAAATAAAATATATMTGGCACTTAAAATTCTCGTGTTAAYATATACAGGCAAAYGCAAACATTTACATCAGCTYTGATGTTTATTTTCATAMATTTCCTTCAAAGATTTCCACTTCTGATGAGGGGTTGCGTTAGGCGGCCGGGGTGCCTTTTTTTTTAGCGCAACACCACTTTCTATTTTCTAATCATTTTTTAAATTCATTTTACACCTTCAATAGAATGTTCATGTACGTCTTTACAAGTTTACAAATTCATACGCTGTGTAATTATAAGCATACATTTGTAAGAGCGTCATTAATCAATTAACGTATAAATAAAAAAACATATAAACTATTAAAAAATAAATGCAAGTAAATCAAATAATTTTGCTTTATTTAATCATATTCAAACAAATGGGTAATAATTAAAATACATTGTTTTAAGATTTATTTTTTTGAGAGCGGAAGTAGTTTCTTTCACAGTCATGGCGTCCTCCTGTCCGCCGACAGGCAACGTGATCATTCGATAAAATGAGAAAGTTTTTCTTCACTTAGACGTCGACCGTGAATAAAACTTAAAATCAAAGTATCTCACGTAAAATTAAATCTGCACTACGTGATTATTTTCCGCTCTGAGGTGAGTATAGCCTGAAACATATAAATGCTAACCGTCGGAGTTTGCTAACTTGTGCTGAGCACGTTCGGTTTTTATAAACTTGGTTTTGTTTTCAGACTTGTACCTTAGTATGCGCGCGCTCGACTTATAATTTAATGCTGAAGAAGGGCAACTATAATTACTTTAGCAACATCTCGAAACTTAAGTAGTTAGCCTTTGTAGTTTGGCTTTGTTTTCAAGTGTATAAGAATCCTGTTTTAACTCGTATATTCTCTCATATCTAGACTTTATCCTTTCACCTCAGATGGCTTCATTTAAACCCACAAAAATCCCAGTCTATCCAAAACTTGGAGAAAAGATCACAGAAGATACACTGTACTGGAAAAATTACAAGGTACGTCTCCTGCTGTGTGCCTCATTATTTTAAGTGGAGTAAATATTTTTCACTCAGATTTGTTGACAGAGTTGTAACTTTGTTTTTCCTCACAGCTTCCTGTCCAGATTAAAGAATTTGGAGCTGTCTCGAACATAGACTTTTCCCCTGTGGCTCCATATAATTTTGCTGTAACAGCGTTCACAAGAGTGAGTTGGCTTTACTTGCATGGATTTACAATAATTCCCATTACAAACAGTATAATTTAATTTCTATTCATTGCCACATAAAGCTGCCTTAAACCTTATTTACCCAGACAACAAAAAAGCTTTTAAAAATCGCTGTATGCAGATTATTAAACTGGGATAAACCAATTACTATACTTGAGTTAAAATGTATTTTATTTCCATGAATGACACGCGTGAACATTACACACTGACTAGTTCTTAACGTAAAGTTGAAATAGAACTGCCAGAGTTTTCATGCACCCAAATGCTAAATATTTCCTTCAAGTGTTAATAATGCACCGTATTCTGCAGTTTTTAATCCTCCCACTTGTTTTCTTGCAGATCCACATCTATGGACTGTATTCCCAGGAGCCAGTTAAGACTTTCACTCGGTTCAAGGACACGGCGTACTGTGGCAGGTTCAGGTCAGACGGACAGCTGCTCGTGGCGGGATGTGAGGACGCTGCTGTCCGACTGTTTGATGTCAACGGAAAGGTGGCGCTCAGGCTGTTCAAGGGGCACACGAAGTGAGCATCATTTCACCGCTGTCGGAGTTCTTTAATTGCTCTGTCCTAATCGAAAGTTTAACAAATGTACTGTGCTTCACAGTTGGTAATTTTGGTGATAAAATTTATCTGGATTTACGTCAGATCTTCTACTCATAACAGAATTAGTCTTTATACTTTGTGTCTTTTGGCAAAATTGTTGCTCGAATATCAAAGTAGCCTAAAATTTTAGGTTTTGTTGTTGAATGATGATTTCTTGAGTGATCCATCGACTGAGTTTCATGATGATCTCTAGAACTCTGACAGCCTCTAATTTGCTCCAAAAATATACCTTATGATGAAATCGAATCGAGTTGAACTAAGTTTCCCTGTTTTCTTTTCTTTTCTTTCTTTTTTTTATTTTCAGGGCTGTACACGTAACAGATTTCACCTCAGACCGTTACCAGATCCTGACGGGGTCTGATGACTACACGTGCCGACTTTGGGACATCCCGAATTCAGCTGAGCTCACCTCCTACCAGGAACACACAGATTACATCCGCTGCGGTGTTACGAGCAAACTCAACAGTGATCTGTTCTTTACCGGTGAGACTGACGCACGCTTATGTGGTTTGGGGAAATGACAAAAAAAAGGGGGCAGGAAGCTGACCTTTTTGACTCATTATTATTAATATCTAGGGCAGCCAAGGTAACCTCTAACTGGAATAAACTACTACTACTAATATTAATAATAATAATAATAATAATAATAATAATAATAATAATAATAATAATAATAAACAGTGGACCATGTGTTCTGATGTCTTTATTCTAATATTTTGTGTTTTAAAATGTGAGGTGTTCAAAATAACTTGGACACAACACCTGATCTACAAAACTGTCTGAATTCTAGTAGAAGTTGTTTTGGAGTACAAACAGATATAAATGTGTCATGACTAACATAAGCATTGACTCAGTCACACAAGCACATTCACATCAAAACTCTCTCACTTTTCCCTGATATGGTCATCACAATCATAATTATTCAATCATATATGACCCATCACTTCGAAACAAGAATTAAGTCAAATTTGGTCAAAATGATTTTATCACATTTTCAGATTCCTGGCTTTAAAAGCTACTTATCTTCCTGATAAGTGGATCTGGAGATATGACTTAATTGGTCTTGTTGGTTATGATAATACATAAATATTTGATCTGAATCCTAATTTATGTAATTTTAAAGAGAATTTAAAGAGGAAACTTCAAATACTTTTTGAATATTGAGATTTCCCAGCAGGAAAGAAACAAAAGCTTTGATAGCTCACAGGGAAAATCTCAACATTTTAAGGCGTTTTTTCCTCAAAATCTGGATTTTTGTTGCTACTGCTCAAAAAAGTGCTTCAAAAAATGTTTTTAGGATTACATTTCAGACAGTTCATTCAAATGATACGTTTATAACACATTTGTTATATTTTGATCATATACACTTTTTGCAAATATTTTAATCAAAACACTACATCTGCCTATTTCTCCACATCACACTTTTAGACTTAATCCTCGATATGATGGGTCACATATTAGCCCTGTGAYGGACCTTGTCCAGGGTGTACCCCGCCCCTCACTGCTGGAAATGGGCACCAGTGACCCTAGAAAAGGAATAAACGAGTGTAGGGGATGCTTGACGGACAATCATAATGTTTTCTTTTATTYAATTTAAAGCTTCACAAAGCAGCCATGTCATTATAATCAGGTTTAAGTTTATTGTCAATTGATGGTGCAGCAGTGCAAATGAAGATGTTTTGGCTCGCGTGGACCAGCTGGAAAGCTTCACTGCATCAGAAAGCTTTATTTCACCATCACTAGCTAACAGATCTTGTTTCCAAAAACATCACCAGCTTTGTTCATCATTATTATCAAACCCATGAGGTAGTAACATGAGGTATGTGTCACGCAACATTTCCTTACTATGAGGAACAACACAAAGGGCTGAATTTAAAATGTAATTTATTTTGTTTTTTTTGCCTGGGGGGTCATATAACGAGAAGTTTTTTTCCTCCAGAAACAATATGTACTCAGTTTACTGTACAAATAATTAATCTGTGTCTGTTAGTTCAAAACATGATCATAATCTTCAGTTGAAACAGATTAATACATTGTTTTGTTGTTAAATTGTAAATAATGAGCATGTATAAAAGAAGGTGAAACAATCTTTATTACATAATTAAGACCACCAGTACATTTTTGTTGTGTCGGTAATACAGTGCAGGAGTGTGAGACGGAGAAATGTGTGCACATGTCGCTGAATTAATTTACTTTGAACAGCAGAAAAAGAAAAAGTTGTTAGGTGTAAATTTGACACATTCTAGCCCAACTTACACATTTATAACAAAATCCACTTCTGTCTGAAGCCACAATGAATTGAGAGAACCATAAAACAATTCTCTGCTGAATCTGATGGCCCGAGSAAACTAAACGCTCCAGCGGTGGTGGTTAGTTGGCCTCGTTCTTTGAAGCCTCGTCAAAGTTTTCAACAAGATCTAAAACAGGAAAAAAAGAAGAGATTTTAAATGATTACTATAAAGTAATATGTGATATAAATCAGCTTCTATTAGAGACAGAGGCTACACACTAAGAATAGAACAAATTAAAGCATAATGATCAGTATAATAAGGAATTATTCTACTTTTTTTAARGAAAATTGTTAATGTGCTTACCTGGAACCTCATCATCCTCCTCTTCAGCAACTACAGGAGCTTTGTTCTCTCCGCCTACAAGAAATCACAACTTTTTATAAGCATTGTAACACACACACACAACAGCTGACATAAAAAAGTAACTCTTTCAGTACCTGGTTTGGGCAGGGTCTCCGCTAGTCTCCTGAGGCTGGTAAGACTGTCAGCTCCTAACTGGTTTAGGATTCCTGGGAGCATCTCTGTTAACTGTTTGTCCTCAGCGTGGCCTGTGATTGTGAAAGTGTTGGCAGCCAAGGAGGCCTGAACCTTTGGGTTATTAAAATGGATCACTGTGCCCTGGTTTGTGAACATATTAACCTGAAGGAAAGGAAAAAAAGGGACTGATTAAAGTTTAAAAAAAAAAGTGACAGTGCTTTTGCAAACACAATTTCCAGCCACTAATYTAAATTAAAAACCACTTAAAAATTTATTTTTGTGTAACTGATATTTTATACATCTTGATATTGGGCAACTGTATAAAAGCATCCTTAGTTACTGCAGGACAGAGTAAGTGTCTTGCTGCACATTGAAGAAGTTATTTATAGTACCTCCTCGATACCAGAGATACTGTTCACGCCCAGTTTCTTCAGTGAAAACTGCAGCTTCTTATCATCGGCTGTAGCTGTTCTGTGCACCACCTTCTTCTTCCTGCGTGCTGACCCCTGCACGGTACAAAAACGTTCTTAAACACATAACGTGGAGACCTGCAACAACACTTATTTTGCAGCGACGTATCCAACTTACCTTGCCACCGATGCGGACCTGCGCCTGCAGTTTGGCAAGCTTCTCCTGGTTCATTATCGTCTCCTTCATCTGATACAACAAACAAGATACAGCTTTTAGGGACGTTGACATTTCATCAGCAGCTGCTGCCATTTTCTTCCCAAACTGCTGTGACCAGATTTTGTAAGGCTGCTCGGTGTG